CTTTGCACACGGACTATTCAAAACAAACACTCAATATATTCATGGACAAATCTTTATTTTATTTTCTTCAAAATACTTCACTTCAAATATGATTTTTTGTATGTGAAAGACTTGTAATATTAACTGAAATACTGCCAAATTTTGTGAAGACATACACGTTATATTGAAAGTTATAAGTATTAAATCTATAAAGGCTTTAAATGAGCACAAAAAGGTCACGTGATTGGTCAAATTTGCCAAGCCCTTATTGAGAGTTAAGAATTATAACATAAGGATAATTTTGAATTTCAATTTTTATATTGTTTCTGGTTTACATTATGTTCATTATTATTTTATAGTACTGATTTTAATTGCTTAGAAACAATTAATATATATAGTATTCCACTTCATAATACTGCATATGTGGAAAAAAATCTTTGGCCTTTATGGCTCAGCACATGCTTTGTGTGCAAGAGGTTTAGGATTGAGTCCCATGTATATCCCTTTTTTCTTTAAATATTTTTTTACTAAACTGTTTCAGTAGTCAACTGATTTTAGTACATACATCATACACAAAGAAAGAGTTTGTCATTTAATATGATATTATAAATAAAAGCTCTGATGGATTTATGAAAGAGAAGTCGTGCTTTGCTAACCTTTTTTTTGTTTTGGTTTTTGTTAGGATGCTACTTGTTATCTGAACTAGGGAAATGGTGTAAACTTGGTGTACTTAGATTTTAAAAAGCTTTTAATAAGGTTCACCCAAAAGGTTAGATGGAAAAAATATCACATCTGTAGGGGCTGGGAAAAGTACTTGATTGGATTATAGGGTTATTGAATGGGAAAAATCAAAAGGCTATTAGAATTGTGACTTTACCATTTCTTATTTACATTCATGATATTGATAGGAATGTACTTAGAAAATTAGTTAAGTTTACTGATACTGAATTCTTGGTTATTTCTAACTATAAAAATGTTGAGATATTACAACAGGGGATAATTTGTTTTAAAACATTTATGTAGCAGTTAAAACGTTTGACTGCACCAGCACATGCAGTCTAGAAAAAAAATATTTCACTGTTAAAAAAATAAAATCAAAATCAGTAGTAGTATTAGTATTTCTGCAATTTCATAACCTTGAAATTGCTACTGTAGAGTGCTTTTACTCATTAGACCTACTCACATAATCTATTTTTCTGTCTAAACTGTATTTTTATCTTCCAAAATAGAAACAAGATTTTGTTCTAAAAATCACTTACTGTAATTTAAACCTAACTCCTTAAGAGCATGTTTTTTATCTAGAAATATCAGTTTAACACTAAACTGAACGTTACTTACCTTTATGAACCGAACTAAGAGACTCATATAAACTATGGATAATTAGGAAAATTTCTGAATCCAGGTTGCTTATTCACTATAATAAAAATTGTGTCACAGAACAAGTTTGATAGCAAAGTTGCAAGATGATACTAAACATATTAATCCCTGTACCAGTTGTCAAAAAAATTAAAACAGATATATTTATAAGTTTAACAGAACAGGTTGATGTCAAGAGGACCCTGGAAGCTCCTCAGTTTAAGAAATTTTACCCCTTCCCCCAAAAAATTGTATTCTAGGAGGCATACATTGCTCAGTGAAAGTGTTACAAAAGTGAATTTTTTGAAAAAATGTTATCTGTATTCCAGCATTCATATATCGAAGAGCTGCTGCAATGTACTTGTAAAAACCGTTGGAGCTGCATCGTGACATGCTTAAGCCACTGCAGCTAGTGGAGACCCAAACAAGCTTGTGTGGTCTACCCAGGGCCTAAAAACGTTAGCATATGTGGACTAAACATTTATGTAGCAGTTGAAAAATTTGCTTAACACTGCACATGCAATCTAGAAAAAATATTTCACAAAAGACTATCCTCTGTTAAAAAAGAAAACAAAAATCAGTACATAGTATTTCTGCAATATTATAACCTTGAAATTGCCACTGTACAGTGCTTTTACTCCTTAGGCCTACTCATATAATCTATTTTTCTGTCCAAAGTTGGTTTATCTGGTACTTTTCTGATAGCGCAGGCACACTCAGCAGTCTTGTAATCCCTCAATGTGGGTTATAATTACAGGTGACCATAGATGCCGTAACATCGATATGTACAACCTAAGTGTCATTATCAGGTACAAATATTGGCGGTGTTATGCGGATATTGTATAATGACAGTTAGTCAGGGTGAACTGTTAAAGATTACTTTGTTTCGTTACCAATTACCAATATCATTAACTTAATAGTATGTAATCAAAGGAACAGTTGGAAGCTTTATACTTTGATATTTATTTCATGACCACTAAATAGGTGCTCATTACTAATTGGTGAAAAGTTAAAAAAAATGGAAAGATGTTTGTTTGAATTTGTTTCAGTGCCTCATGAACAATAGTAAGAATATACACAATGGTCACAAAAAGTTTCAATATTAACATCGTTTTGATCTTTGATCTTTATAATTATATCATTCACTGTTTTCTTTTACTTTTTCATCCAAACATTCATAACTTTTTATTATCGTCAGATTTATATATGTTTTTACTAGATAGAGTAAGGAAGACATTGCACATGAAATAAATATAAACTGTGTGGCATCATGGTTCATATTGTTTTATCTTCTGCATGTTAGAAACTGTTGTGTTGATAGTGGTCAGGAATTTTTGGGCACCCAAATTACTCATGCGGGTAGGATTTTTGTTACTATTTCAAACTCTAGTCTCAACCACAACTATGTCATCCTATCCAGCCTGATAAGGCCCTGCTATCAAGCAAAGGGCATTGTCAGCACTGGATATAGAGTAATTAACATATTCATTTGTACTTTCAATTGCAAGTTCTTAGAATTCAGTAGTATATGATGTATAACATTATGAATTGTCTGTTTTTGTAAGCTTCTTGAAGACCTAAAGATCCAACTGCAGGGGAAGGTATATTGAAGAAAGTATCTGTTAACAGAGTGCTAGATGTACAATCTAAATTAATCAATACTTCTATTACAGTTCATCAAACTTGAATTTTCACAAACACACTCACTTTTGTGGGAAGATTTTTGCAATAAAGTTTAAATAAGCAATTTTAATTGCCATATTTCCTGTTATTGACTAATAGTTTAACTTTTAAAACTATAGTACTCCAAAGTACTCTGTTTTTGCATGTATTTTGCTACAGTTTAAACACAGTCATAAGTAAAACAACTTCATTTTCCTTTTTAGTGTAAATCTCAAACATTTCAGTGTTTTTTATAACAAAATGTTAATATATCTAATTGTTTTTTTAGTAATTTGTTTCATAAACCAAAAAAGTCATTTCTGCTGCTTGTTCTATTATTTTAAAACCTAATGTTTGAAAGCTGTTGTGATTGAATTTACAGGAGAGTTTCTGTAGTAATCATTCTTTCACTTTGATTTTCCTGGATGCAAACAAAATTTATTCAACCTTCAGTAATTATTTCACTTTGTGTTTGTCAGGTATTTAGTTGTAAAACATTTTTCAAACAAAATACTTAAGCTTGCCATGACATTAGATGATTTTTTTCATTGCATAATCTCCTTTATTACCCTTATCTGGCATTTGATGACTGATTGTTTGAGCTCTAAATTTAGTACACAAGTATACTATTAAAAGCAGTTTAAACAGACATAATTGTGTGAGTATTTTAACAAAAGAATTTAAACATTTATTTTTTTAAATATATATATTTCAACCTTTGAAACTTCTCTGTAGTTGCGTAATAAAATGTTTTTAATTAGGTACACCAGGACTAGGAAATATAGGATGTACGTGACCTTTAGTAGAGAAAAGAAAATTAAAATGAAAGTATGCTTTTACATAACACAAACTACAACTTGCATACATCAGTTAAGTTTCTTAATTATTATCATCTGATTCTCACCCAGATATTATGGGATTAAACATGTATGTATCTGTTTGTACTACTACTGGTAAGATGTATCTGTTTGTACTACTACTGGTAAGATGTATCTGTTTGTACTACTACGGGTAAGATGTATCTGTTTGTACTACTACGGGTAAGATGTATCTGTTTGTACTACAACGGGTAAGATGTATCTGTTTGTACTACTACGGGTAAGATGTATCTGTTTGTACTACTACGGGTAGGATGTATCTGTTTGTACTACTACGGGTAGGATGTATCTGTTTGTACTACTACGGGTAGGATGTATCTGTTTGTACTACTACGGGTAGGATGTATCTGTTTGTACTACTACGGGTAGGATGTATCTGTTTGTACACTACGGGTAGGATGTATCTGTTTGTACTACTACGGGTAGGATGTATCTGTTTGTAAGTGTTTGATTTATAAATATTAGCAATTCAAGAATAATATTTCAGGTAAGATTTTGTCTGCATTCTTTATTTAGTTTTTGAAAACGTAAATGTTTTCAGTTCAATGTTTTTGTTTCAGATGAAAGTAAAAGTGGGTTTTCTGATCAAAATGAAACATTAAGTCGACCATCTTTACAAGGCTCAGTGAAAAGTCATACCTCTCCGAAACCACTTCCTGAATATCAGTACACTAAAGTGAGTTAAATCAATGGTAGAAATTTCTTTTGAAATTGTTTTTGTGAAAACAATATACCATAGTCAGTTAAACCAACAGGAATGGTTTAAAATAACGTTTTTGTTACAGAGATTTGCGAATAAAGAAAAAAAGTGTAGCTTGGTTATCATCATTAGGCTTGGCTGGCTTTTGTAATAAACAAGACCTTGTATCCAGTGAAAGATGTTGGGTTCATAAGTAGCTAATGAAAATTTCAAATGTTTATAACTAGGAAAACTTTAATACATGAAATTTCTTACTGTTTTGAGTGTCAGTTGTAAGATGATTAGTAGTATTCATCACTTTTAAACACAGTCAAGATTATCATGAATTAAAAGATGCTCTATTTATGATTGGAACTTTTACTAGATACTAAAACTACCAGTCATTTCATATTTTCTTTTGACAGCTTTCTGATTTGATGTGGGGGAGATATTTCTACTCAGAATGTGTGACAAAGTTATAAATAACTTGCTAAAAGGAACTGTTAGAGTGGAATCGTTTTCTTAAAAAATGGTTGCATTTATACTTATAATTTTTAAAATAATTACTTGTAATCTTACTACAAGGAAAACTTGAGTATTAAAACGTTCAAACTCCAGATTCAGGATTACATCTGATTGTGACTCACTCCCTTATCAGAGTTGGAGCAATGCAAGTTGTTGTTCAAACCTAATTCCTCCTCTCAAGAGTTGAGTTAATCCCTCAGAAATTTCTTCCTTTTTCCCCTGTGTGATATACAAGTGAAACTTGTTTCCTTTCTCAGTGTTCTTAAAGGATAGTATTGTTTTAGAATCTTAAGAACTAGGTACTATGTTTCTGCTTTTTTTTTCAAGTATACACCTGTATCATTCAGTAAAAAATATGAAACATTGAGTTAATATTCTCGCAACCCAGCTGTGACTGGTATTTTCAGTCCAGAGTTGTACAGATAATTTTTAATCACTATTTTTAGTAATATCAAGCTGATTAAATGCTGATAGTTTTGAATTAAAAAGTGATTGAACTTGTCATGTACTCTGAAAAAATTCATCTCATAATCAGATTTAAAGTTAAGAACTAAATGTTATTACTAAAAAATGAATGTGTAACTTGGTGTACATTTCAGGAGGAACTGATGGACATTTCAAAGTTACCAGTTGCCAGGAAGAGACCTAGTTGTTTAGACTTGGAGTTTAACAAGTATGATATTTTCTTTTTTTTTACTGTATATGTATATGCACCTGCTAATTTATGGATGTTCTTATTAACTCTCTCGACACGGGGTCGGTCAATTTGACTGAGTCACATCACATTTTGTTCTTGTTTAAAGTCTTTATAAATTAATACTTATAACTTTCAATGTATTGGGTATACCTTCACGAAATTTAACAGTCTTTCAGCTGATATTACAAGTCTTTCACATACAAAAAGTCGTATTTCTTAGTGAAGTATTTTTAATAAAATAAAATAAAGATTTGTCCATGAATATATTGAGTATTTGTTAGGAATAGTCCGTGTGCAAAGTAATTTTCATGTTAAAATTAAAAATACTTTAAAAAAATCTAAAATTTCCTTTGTGTAATCCCTAAAACCTCCTAAATGCATTTCAAACGTTTTTTCACTAACACCGTATAGTTTATCTGTTATTTTCTCTACCCTATCTCAAAATGAGATTGGTCAATTCGACCAACCTCATAACCACCAAAAAAAAAAAATAATAATTGAAATAAACCTAAATTTACATTTTTTTTCTTTCTAGAATGACTTCAAATTGTAACGAAATTACATTCATTTATCCTAAGTAGCTTTAAGTTTGTAACATTATACATCTATTTATAATTAAATTTTATTGTTTTATTGCTCTTTGAACCGTGTCTAACTACTATCCGTGCCATTACAAGCTATAAATCACTTTGTGAACGTGCAGCTCACATCACTTTATCAAATTAGATTACCCACGAGCTGTTCGCATGCGTGCCTCGTTAACCATTTTACTTATATTTTTATTATTACTTATTTTACCTAATCTAGTCTTAAATAACTTAAAAAGATCTGTATTTTTAATTTTAGTTACTTTTATAATAATAAATAAAGAATAAATATGAAAAACAAGAAATAAAGTACTTATCCAATCTTCTTTCATCTTGCCTTTGATTGTCGATGAGAGTTAAGCCTGATTTTTTATAATAATTATAGTAAACCACTTAACAATTTTATTTAATTAAATAATTCATCAAAGAATACAGACTAATAACATGCAAAAAGTAGACAAATTCATTTACCTCTCAAAATTTTCCTGGCTTTCTTGTTATGCGACAAGAACCACTACAAATTCATCCAAGCTAGTCATTAACTTTTCCACTGGATAGATAAAAACCTTAACTTTTTATTGGTTATAGATAATGAAACGTAAGAGAGAACTGTCAATGAATTGTGAAACAGAGGGTGTGTCAGGAGGGTTCTGATTTTCTGTTTGATAGCTCTGTATACAAAGAAAATTGAAGGCTATAAAAGTTATGGTTTGTTTGAGCAATATCGATTTTATAGAGAGTATTTTACTTTTAATTTTGTACATTTTCGAGGGGGTGATAGATAAAATAGGGATGATAACATGCTAAGACAAAATGTGTCACGTGGGTCACACTAGTAGTAATTCAGGATTTTTTTATATATTTCCTTGTAGAATTAAGAACTTAAAACTTGAATACTATTAGAATATGGATTATTAGCTAAGATTTTATACTATTTTAATTGGTATAACATAAACAAAAAGTAGTTTAATAAAATTTTGAATGTAAGACACTAAAACACATGCGCAGTGAAGGGTACCCGGAGTGAGAGGGTTAATTGGTTTAACCCTCTCTCCATGGGCATCTTTTTCTGCAAATGTCATGAGAGTTTTTTGGTGAGTTTCATTCAAAATCTAATTAAACTACTTTTTATACCAATAAATATAGTATGAAAACATAGTTAACAATCCATATTTTAATAGTATATATGTTTTAAGTTCTTACTTTTTAGGATAATATTAGAAAAATCTAGTGTGAGAATTGTGACATTTGCTCTCTAGGTATCCCCTCTTCTCTAATTTAGTTACCACCCCTCCAAGAAGTGTGAAATTTAATGTAGATTATGCCTTATAATATTTTCATCACTCAGGAAAAGCATAATTTTCAGTCTTCATTCTCATTTGGTTACAGAGTTATGAAATATACAACCAGACCCCTTTTGCCATGCCCAACTGTTACATCTTCTCTTTTAGAAACTGCCAATAGTTTCTCTCTCTGATGCTCAGTGCTATAGTATTTATAACCAATAGAAAGCCAAGGTTTTCATCTATCAAATGATGTATTATATTATGATGTTTTCAGTAAAGAGAACTGTCAATTTCAATTTTGGTTGAAGCTTGATTCTGACAGGAAACATATCAATTAGCTTAAATGAATTTGTAATGGCTCTTGTTAGAAAACCAGAAAAATTGTGATAGTTATGGAATGTTTGTTTTTTGCATATTATTATTCTGTGTTCTTTGGTGCATTATTCCTTTAACTCTTTCAACATAGGCTGAGTCCCAGGGACTGACCACGTGACCATTTTTACTTGTATATAGTGTTAATATTAACTTTTAATACACTCTTTCACAAAATATGACAAACTTTTAGTAAACATTACATGTCGTTTGTACAAACAAAATAAGTTTTTCAATGAAGTATTTTTGCTAACAATTTGTCCGTGAATGAATCAAATATTTTGTTTACTACTTCAAGCACTGTCTCAAAAATCTCAACCTTCATTTTCATAATTGCTAAAACCTCTTAGTAAATATGAAACTTTTTTTTTATAGTAAAACTATTTTTCATCTGTTATTACCTTTACCCTAACAGAATATTCTATTCTTCAGTCAGTAAATAAATCATCAAAGTATAACAAAAAGTTGTAAAATCAGAAATAAAATGAGCAGCTTTGCCCTGTTTCTTGATTATTGTTTATAAGATTTTAAAGTACTTCTCTTGAGAGTTTCAACTGCTAAGAATTTCACATTTATTTTCTATGTGTATTTTACTGTCTACAATTGAAGTATAAATCCACTGAAAATGAAGCAATAAATTGCTAATTGCATCCGTGGACTGTTTACATGATGCCGTAATACGATACCTTCAAAAGCAACAAAACATGAAGGGATAGTTGACTTGACCCCTGCTCTGAGAACAGATGTCTAATGTATCGGATTATATATCTTACAATATTTACTAGGAAATTTAACTTTAGTAATCACACTTTGAATCTGTGAAAATGTTTATGCCAACAACAGGATGTTAATTTATTGGTTTATGTATGTATCCTAAAGTGTTTTACAACAAGTATTCTCCAGAGCAATAAGACTGCACGATGAATCTGTCAAAATGTTTATAGTATGGTTTGGTGCCAATAAAATAAACATCGCAATTCTTGGAATATTGGTAATCCTTCTGGGATGTTAGAAATTTAGAGGTATACTGTATAGGTGTACAAAGATTTTACTGGTGCACATGGTTGTAAAATCCTACTTCTCTTTCAGTAAACTTATTCATCAACCAATAAACATTCAGGTTTCAAATCCTGTTATTATTTTGTAAGCATTCAAATTCAGTCAAGCACTCTGACTTTGGTTATTTCTCTACACTTTGTTGGAAGACATAGACAAATTGGTACCAAGCAAATCTACTCTACTTGAAGCATATTTATTGCTACTGATTTTTTACCTAGAAGTAAGTAATTATTATATATATAATACATCTACGTTCAATAGTTTTAGTATAAAGTTGTTGACCAAAATACATTGTAGCTGTTTCTGGATTTTAGCACAAAATGTACTGCTTCTGAAATCTGTGATACACATCACAGAATATATATACACGTAAAGAACTAATACAAATCATGTAATACATAAAATAATGTTACACAACAAAGAATACATGATGCAAGTTATATATGTAATGTTTTTTCTTCTAGAAATGGAAGCTTAAAGAGAACTTAAAGCAAAGTTCCATGAATTGAAAAAGAAAAAGATTATCAATGAGGAGGAGATGCAGTTTTTACTGCATGCATCTTTCTCTTGACACGAAAGTGGCAGTCTGTTGGGGGGGAATCAACAGTCGAGGAAGCTGATGCTTCAGTTGCTATGCCCTGAACAAAATCAGAGTACAAAACAAGATGGCCTCAGGTAGAACTAGCTCTTCTTGATTCTGTCTTATGGACAGATCTGGAAGTAGCTCAAAGGTCTTCATCAGATGAAGATGTACAGGAACCACCCAGGCCAGGTATATCTAGACAAGCTACACCACCACAGAAACGAAATAGGGCTGGGAAGGGGTATAACTGCTTTGTGTACTAGGACTGCCTCTTTCCAGCAGGAGAAGTCCCTTGCTTGCAATGATACCTGCAGATCACCGAGGAGGAGCAAAGAAACATACCTACATTCAACAGAGGTGAACCTGTGTCTAGACAGGTCACCTCTTTGAACACAATTAATGATTTATTTAAACTTTTATTCACTGTAGAAAGTTTAAGTATAATTGTGAAGGAAACAAACCAGTTTTGCAAACCGCAGATGCCAGGAAGAAGGTGGACCAACAACAACAACAAAAATCAGATGCACTGATGTAACACATTCTGAAATTTTAGCATATTTAACGTTATCCATCTCTTTCTGACTATTGGTCTACCTATCTTCCTTTCAATAATCCTTTGTTTACTAACATCTTCTCTAGGGACAAGTTTTTAGCTAGCCACACTTACTTACATTTCAATAACAATACTAATGCTCTTCCTAGAACTGACCCTAACCATGATAAACTTTTTAAGGTTACACCTATCATAGACCGTCTATTAAACTCTTTTGTTTCCCACTGCTCTCCTAACAGAGAACTAACTATAGATGAACAGATGCTGGGCACAAAATGTGGAATTAGTTCCTTCAATATTTACCAAAGAAACCTGTCAAGTGTGAAATCAAGTTGTGGATTCTGTCTGAAGTTTAAAATCTACACCAGCAAAGAGGGAGAAATGCCAGCTAAAGGTTTAGCAGACAACGTTGTGATGGAACTGATGGACAAGTACAACAGACTAGGACACTGGATTTTCATGGACAACTTTTACACTTCCCCATATTTATTTGACAAACTACTGACTATGGGAGCCTATGCTTGCGGGACATGCAG